AAAGCAATGTCTTATTTCACTAAATTATAATTTAGCACATTTTTTTCTGATTAACAGTCATTACTTTTTTCAGTTTCTAGTTATTTGAGTGACTATTGTGAATTTTGCCTTTTCTTTAATGGAAGGATATGAATACATTTGAGGAAGACTCTATAAGAACACTTCATCTCCTCAGGGGACTGAGGAATTACATTACATTATATTATAGACATCATTTGTTCTGTGTAAGTCACTAGTGAAAAACTTCCAAGGGTGCAAGGTAACATCATACAAATAACTTTCCATTTCTAAATAGCAATGATTGTATTTGTCTGCTTTGTTTAAATGTGACATTGTGACATGGCAGCTAACCGCACAGGATTTATAATTATTATAAAAAGAATTAAAAGGACATTTTAGAAAATCTTTCATTTCTTATAAATTACATTGAAAATCAGAGATCAGCTGACTGTTTCAGTGGGACACTCAGGATTGTAGAGTGATGTCAGTGTTTTTTTTACATGTTTTCAGTCCGGGATGACTTCATCACAGGATCAAGATGAAGGTTTATTCACCATCCGGTTCAAGTGTTTGAAGTCAGACAAACCGCTGAAACCGAAAATACACCTTGAAATACTTCTTCAGACTTGGTTCAACAGAAGAGGAAAAAACCCAGACTGCTCGGTTGTAGAGGCTGTAGGAGATGATTGTGTCGTGATAAACATTCAACCTGTTCCAGGTGCAGTAGGACTGTTTGAATTCTTTGAATTATTACCATAAAATCCCACATAATCATTTATTAATCATTTGTTTACCTGACTATATTAATAAGGATTCCTTTATGCAGTTTGACTTTAAATAGTGCTGTTAAATATTTTTTGTGCCATATTTTGTGTCTTCTTTTTAAGCCCTGAGTGAACTTAGGAAGCTGCTTGGAGAAACACTCACCAGGAAAAATGAGATTTCTGTCATCATAACATCAGTTAGTCTGTCACCACCAGAGCAGGATACAAGAACACCAGAGGGTACTTCAGTGAACCCCCCTCCTCCTTCCATGTCACCGCCACAAGCTGTATGTACCGCACCAAATCATAAAGCAATTGCAAAAAAAAAAAAAAAAGATTTTTTTTAATGAATTGATATGTGTTTTTACCCAGGAGCAAGTGAAACAGAGTAGCGAAGTTTCTGCAGCAGGAGAAAAGGCGTACGGTGGTTGTATTCCAGTGTGCCACTTCTGGTATGTGATGAACATCTACAAAGAGAAACTTCAACGTATAGAGAAAGAGAATGGAGTTAAACTGAGGTCAGAAGTGAAAGTGACATTTGAACAAGAACAGGAAGATGGAGACCTGCAGAAAGATGGAAACCCGCAGAAAGCTTTCAATGAGCTCGCAGACCTTGTCCAGGGTTGCCTTCACGATTCCAATGGTTCAGAAATTCCTCTCAAGTACGTTGATCCAGATCAGTGGAGAAGCGCACTGAAAATTGTCCAAAAAAAGGAGAACAAGCTTTTGCTTACTATGTCCTCCGACAATATTATAGCATGCGGACCAACCAGCAGTCAAAATGAACTCGCTCGTACCTTAAACACAATGCAGAAAACAAATGCAAATTCTTCACGTGAAGAAGATGAATGTCCTTCTGAAGACATGTCACTGATGATTGACATGACCATCAACGACCCTCTCGTCGTATCAGGACTAACCTTGGAGGAGAGCGTCTGGAAGCTGCTGACTGCTCCCTCCGATGAGCGACTAGCAAAGATCAAAGATAAATTTAATGTTAACTTCAGAGAATCAGATGTCACTCAAGGCAAAGTCAATGTCCAAGCATGCTACAGAGGAGACGGAGGAAACGCCTCCATGGAGAGCCATGCCATCAGAGCTCTTGTTCGTCTGTACCAGAGGATTGCCACATCACTTCTGAGTTCCAATCAAGTCCATGGTGCTGCTGGGCTCAGCAGAACTGGAGCACTGAAGAACTCGAATAGTGCTCATCAGTCAGAGGGGACCTCCAATGGTCATGTGGTGAGTGGACTATCAGGACTCAGCATGAACAACACTGAAGCACCCACCGGAGGGGGAGCAACAGCAGGAGATGATAAAGATGACATCTGTCCTATATGTATGGACACATTTATCAAGAAGAAACAGCTCAAGTGTAAACATGAGTTTTGTAAGGGATGCCTGGACCAAGCTATGAAAGGCATGGGCCCCATGTGCCCTGTATGCAAAGATGTTTTTGGTGTGATAACAGGGGACCAGCCAGATGGAAGAATGTCATGGATTAAATATGCCCCATCCCTGCCTGGATTCCCAGACTGTGGAACTATACACATCACCTATGATATTCCAAGTGGAAAACAGACGGTAAATAATTTATTTGAATGCCCAAATGCCTCTTTCATTTCAGTTATGTGTGTTCATTTTTTTCTGTTGACTTCTAACAAATGTATTGGTCTCCCTTTGCAGGAGAAACATCCCAAACCTGGACAGTACTATGGTGGAATTATGAGGACAGCATATCTTCCCGACAACAAGGAGGGAAACGAAGTGCTGCAGCTGTTGAAACGAGCATTTGACCAGAAGCTCATTTTCACGGTCGGGATGTCCAGGACTACGGGGATAGAGGACCAGGTGACCTGGAATGACATTCATCACAAAACTTCCCATACAGGAGGACCACAAAGGTACTACAGCCAAACTTCTTAATTCTGTTATAGTATGCATCAGATCTTGCAGTTGTTTAATCAGATTGGGATCTGGGGAATTTGCAGGCCAGGTCAATGCCCTTGGCTCTTATTTGTGTACCTCAAGCTGTTCCTGAGCAGTTTTAACAGTGTGGCAGGGCACACTGTCCTGCTGGGGGAGGTCGCTGCCATTGGGGAGTGTCAAAGTGTCTTGGACTGCAATAACGTTTAGATGGGTGCTATGCATCATATTTGCATCTACATGAATGCCAGGTCCCAAGATGTCCCAGAAGAACGTGGCTTTGTAACAAAATCATCAGTTTTAGTCACTGTAGCTGTCAGTGGTTTTATTCTTGGTGCAGATCAGTGTATATTCTTTATCGTGTTTTTTCTGCTGAAATATCATTAATATTAACCCTTGTACATCCTGTTTCCACAGTTTTGGCTATCCTGACCCCAACTATCTGAGCAGAGTCAAGGAGGAGCTGAAGGCTAAAGGCATCAAGTGAAAGCTTTGAGGCAAAGTGGAGCCTAATTTCACATACAAGAAAAAAATATATAAGACGAATCTATTAAAGAGTTGTTCACAAATGTTTAGCCGTTTTTTTGCCTGGTAATGTTTCATGTGATCAGTAAGGATTGCTTGAGGTGCACTGGAAATCATTTACAGCTTAAGAGTTTATTGTTTAGCATTTTGATTTATCGACACTTAAGTTTCTTTAATGAAGGATTGTCTCAGTTTTTTGATTAAGTTTCTCAACATGTAACAACATCCAAATGAAATTTTCTTTTAAGTGTAATCTTGTATCTACAACACAGATGAAGTGGTTTTTTGGGGGGTGATTTGCCAAATAAAAGATTAAATTAACCCATACTGACTCATGGCATTTCTATTTTATCAGGGCTGCTTGTAAACAAAACACAGACCACAACAGAGTTTGTTTTCTGTACAATTTTTAAAATTTTATTTATAACAATATCTGTTATTTAGTTTGTAAAGTACTCCAGCAAAAATTAAACATTATTCTCTTTCCAGAAGAAAGTCTGAGCCTCCATGCATCGTGTACTATAAAAGCTATGTGTCATTTTTCATTTAAAAAAAAAAACAAGGACTAATCGAGAAAAAAAAAAAAATTCTGAAAATGCACGTATGATTTTGCAAAAATGTTCTTTAGGTAAAATGATTGTACTTCTCTCTCAATTAAAGACGAAACATATACAACAGCATAAAATAACACTCGCTGACAGGTAAGCAAAATAAAAACTTGTTATTGTAGTTACATTGAAGACTTGTGTTACTTTTCACATGCATTAAGATATGGCTGACACATTTCTGACAGAAGCAGCATTTTGGGACAGAGGCTGAGCGTAAGGACGTGTCAGAGCGACCAGAATGGTAGCATTAGCAGCAGCAGGGCACAGAGGAGAATAAGAGATCCGAAAGAGCTCGAGAACAACAGAGAAATACTAAGGACCAAATGAACATAATGCACTTAAGACTGAGTCATTACAAAACTGTGAATGTACAGACTTTGATCCTCTAAAGGCAGAAAGATAAATTTACTCACAAAGCCAGATGGACGTAATCTGGTCTTTACAAAAAGAAAAAAAAAAAATGGACGGGAGAAGTAAAAGACAAACACATCTTTTCCTTCCTCACATTTTACCATAATTGCAGCCCCCCTTTCCCTCTGGAGGAAGACCCCTGTAACAGCTAAATAGTGCAGACATGACACTACTCATCAAAGTATTGTATCTGTAATGGCCCTCCCATTATTAGCCGAACACGGCGAGGCCATGAATGCACAGCCAACTGCCCCCCATGAAGGCATTTACCCCAACTGTCACTTCACATCTGTAACCTTCATCGATCACCTTTGCCTGGAATGTTTAACCCATGACCAACGTCCTCATTCTCCAGCTCCACAGTCACACACCACCTCTGATCCTCTTCACTTCAGCAATGCACGAGCTCCAGCTGTTACACAACGTGATAAAAACAAACACATCCGCTTTACATGTTACGGTATAAAGCCTACAGTCCACACTATACCGTAAAATGTGATATTCTGTGCAAGGAAGACAACACAATCATTTCATAAACATTGTTCTCTGAGAAAAAATCATGTGGAAATACTGTAGTTGCCATCTGGTATTGACATTTTACATGTGCTATACACAAACGGTGCTATCACAAATCTGTCTCACACAATCTTGCAAAGAAAACCTGGCAAGACAACACATGTACCGATTTAGAAAAACTACGAGTTTTGCCTTTCCCGCTCAAAGTCAACACAAACAACAAATAGTTGGCACTGGTGAAATGGAACAATGTTTTTTTCTTTTCTATACAATTCATACAAAAATAAAAAATTAAAATTGCTCCAATGATAGCATCTTTTCTTCTGATTTTCTTGTTTCCATTTCATTTTGCACAGAGGTAGTGGCTATTTAGGTAAAGGGTAAGGGACAAAGTGTAAATTAAAAATCTCTCATAGAAAATGTTATTCGTTTTTGACCAGAGGAATCTCAAAAGAACAAAATATAATACTGCAATCACATACAAAAGTAGTCCTTCATTTTTGTACATTTTATACAGTGTTCACACTTTTTATCAATTTTCTCTCACGTTTTTTATCGATTTTTTTTTTGTTTGTTTGTTTAATTTTTCTTTCAAAGGCAAGAACAAGGGGTGTGTTTGGAATAGCATGATCTAGGCCAACGGACAGTCTATGCCAGTGGGTCCACAAGGGGCTCCTCATCTCCACGAGATAGCAACTCCTTTTTCTCGTCTGTGCTGGCCAGAGAGTTGCGACTGTTGTGAGCTCCCATGTACAGAGTGGCATATACTGGGTTCGTAAAGTTGGTGGGCTGGAAGGAGGAAAAAAAAAAGTCATCCATTAGATAACGTGCAGGAGGCGACAATACGGTCGTAGGTATACACATGCCTGGTCTATTTTCTCTACCTTGTCTGGATCCAGCGTGAAATCTGCATCCAGCAGCTCCCCGGCATCATCATCAGGCTCGCCCTCGTAGATCTTGTAAGCGGGGTTGCCAATCTCCACATTCATGGCCCCGTTGGTCATCCTTTGGTGCTGGAAGCCCTTGGCCCTACACAAAACATCAAGGTCACAGTCACACCTTCACTTCTGACGCAAGATTCGCGGAGCCTGAACAGTGCAAGCAGGAACACAGCCACATTACGGAGGGAGGGAGCGAGGGAGGGAGGGAGGGAAGAGGCATTGCATGACTCTCACCACCATCCAGGCTAAGCCACAGCACAGGCACCAACACAAACCCAGCATTCATGTAGCCCAGGTCAGATCCAGACACAGTGGATCTGAATACAGGACTGTTAGCGCACTGACTATTTCTCCAGACCACAATAAATCGACAATCAATCCTATGAGGTATGCTATGAATATCTTCAGCAACTATGGTGTCTTGGTAAATGCTGGATTTTTTTGAGTTGCATTTTCCAATCTGAGCTTGGAAGAATGCTGTTGGACTCTCCATCTCTCACTACGAGAGACACTAGCACAGTACAAACCACAGCACAAGTACACTATGGCACAATACGATGGACAAAAATATGAGAGATCTACGGCACCGGCTAATACACAGACAGATCTATTCAATGCATCTTTTCAATAGATCTGCCCTGGAGCTGCTCCAAAGAGCGAAACTGAACAGGACAGATACTGTAGGAGCGGGACGGCCCACAGCTCCCATGAATATCAGAGAAAATGGCGTAGACATTCACCACAGGACCAAAAACACTGCACAGCAACCACGACTCATGGTTAAGGGGAAAGACAGAAAGAGAGAGCATCAGAATGTAGAACTGAAAGAGGGCATGGAGCAAAAAAATGTAACCCTGGCAACCGTTACCGCAAGCGCCTGGAACCGGTTTTGCCGGGCCGGCTAGACCTGAGGAGCAGAAGAGATGCCATTACAGAGAGGAGAGTAAAAGTGCAAACTGAAGAAAGACAGAAAGAAAGAAGAAGAAAGAGGGAGGGAAAGAGAATGCAACGACCAAAAAGAGGTCTAGTGTTTTGAATGTTCGACTGTCACTCACCCTCTCATCCTTCTCCTGTACCAGAACAAGGCTCCTGCAGCCAGGAGAACCAGCAGCAACAGCAGCAGCACTGGGATCACTATGGAGGCTGTGCCTGCATACAGACATACAAACATAAGGATGGTGCACAGAAAACTAGAACAGTAGACTTCATCTCATCATATGAAATGTAAGAAACCCCTGATATTAATGCCATTGCAAACGTGTTGACTTACGTCCGCCTGAAGCAGAGTGATCACTGCTGCTGGCCACAGACTCACAGCGATGCCCCGCCCAGCCCGGTGAACATCTACACACATACACACATGAAGAGATATGCATGTAGTGCACTATGCAGTGATGCAATAGAGGTGTTCAGACTGAATGACAACAAATCTGAATGATCACACTCTGTTCCTTACCTGCACTCTGGAAGGCGAGAGATGGGGTTTATAGAGCACTGGCCGTTTGCACAGTACTCATTGGTATCGCATGTGTAGCAGCTGGGCTGGACTCTGCCATTTGTGCATCTATCCAAATAGAAAACAAACAAACATGAGTAACAATGTAAGAAATGAGGCTAACTTCTGCATGTAAATTTGTAGGTCCTTGATGTAAACTAGCTGATGTGCCCATGAGCGCCCCCTACCGACAGGTGAAGTCCCCTGTAGTTGTAAAACCGTGGCTGGGGATACACTCTCCGTCACGACAGTAGTGACATTTGTCAATCTCACATGTACTACCAGAGTACTGGGGCAGACAGCGACACAGCTTGGCACCATTTTCACTCTGCAGGCATGTACCTTTGTGTAGGCAGTGGCCTTCACAGCTTCCTGCTCAAACACACACGTACAAACATGTTAGTGCACAACTTAGTAACCACATTGTAATCTATTACATATTCTCTTTACTGCAATTCTGGTTTTATTTTTATGCTCTCAGTTGGTCAGCACAAGCATCTCAAGATGTTAAAACTATCAGATGAAGAGTGGGAACACTCACTGTACTGGCACTTGTCGCCAAGGAAGTCAGTTGGACAGCGGCATGTCGGCTGGTTTCCAGCACTGACGGTACAATTGCCTTCATTCTTGCAGTAATCTTTACAGGTATGCAGGTTACAGTTTGGCCCTGTAAAGCCTGTCAGGCATCGACATGTAGGAGAACCTGCAGGAAGACAGATATATGAAGAGTTATGGAGAGAAGACTGAGCAGGGACAATGACAAGAAAGTACATATGTGTCATGCTACCTGGTCAACACAAACATAACAGTGACCTGCACAGTCTTATTGAAAGCCAACTTGCAATCTCCATGTCTAACCTGTAGGGGAAGGTGTACATGTGCCTCCATTCTTGCAGTAGTCTCTGCACTGATCAATCTCACATCGATCTCCTCCATAGTTAGGCTGGCAGCGACACTTGGGCTGCTTGTGGGCATTTAGGAAACAGCTTCCGCCGTTCAAACACTGGACCAAGCAGGGCCCACTGGGAGGAGCTGTAGGTGATGAAATCTCTCAGTCATACAGAATGATTTAAATGAATTCAAGTGTGCGCACTTGTGTCTGCTTTCTCACTCACAGATAGGAGATAATGTGGGAGTGGGCAGCTCCACGCACGTGCCATTGTCCAGAGTACGTCCATTGGGACAAGTGCAGACTGGTCCGCTGGGGCTTAGCAGACACAGCCATTCACATTTCTTCCTGTCACAGGGATTAGTCACTGACAGAAAGAGAGAGAACCAGTGTTAAATGTGACCAAAAATAAGTCCCTTCAGTTTCTCACTATTTTAGTGTTACTTTGCAATGTTGCTGCTGAGA